CCTGTCAGTGCAGGCGGCCCGAGAGATGTGGGTTTGATCCTTGGGTAGGGAAGATGCCCTGGAGTAGGAAGAGACAAACTGCTCTTTAGGTATTCTTACCTAAAAAGTTCCATGGACAGAGGAGCCTTGTGGCATGCAGCCTATGGGGCCTGCAAATGTCAGACACGACTGAGCGGTTGAGCACAGTCATGCCCTAATTTAGCTTTTAGAGAAACTAGCTTCTAATATTTCATGTGTGTCAATTTGCTTGTGTGCGTGTGTGCTAAGTCACTTCAGTTCTTCAGTGTGAGTTAGAGGAGCATGCTTTCAGGGACCCTATAAGGAACCCAAAGAGAAATGCCTGTTGGGCATCGTTTAAAGTGAATCTTGCTGAGAGAGATTCTCCAGGGGGTAAGTTTTCCTCAGCATAAATAGGCTGGTTACATTCAAATGTGAAACTTGAGGGGAAGTCCTAAGTGACCTGCTCTTTCCCTGTACCCATTGCCCAGATTATACACCTACTGCTGCTGCTGCTGCTGCTGCCACTAAGTCGCTTCAGTCGTGTCTGACTCTGCGCGACCCCATAGACGGCAGCCCACCAGGTTCCCCCGTCCCTGGGATTCTACAGGCAAGAACACTGGAGTGAGTTGCCATTTCCTTCTCCAATGCATGAAAGTGAAAAGTGAAAGGGAAGTCGCTCAGTTGTGTCGACTCTTAGCGACCCCATGGACTGCAGCCATGGGATTGTCAGTCCATGGGATTGTCCAGGCAAGAGTACTGGAGTGGGGTGCCATTGCCTTCTCCATACACCTACTGGCTTTTCTTAAATGTAGCCATACAGAAGAGTTCATTTTGGAAGATTAGAAATAGAGACTTAAAAAATTGATGTTCGGGAAAATGGGGAATAAGAATGATATTATGAAGTGTACTTCTTGTATACATATTAGATATTTTTTATATTACCATTTTACCCAAGCTAGATTTTATTATGCAAATTAAATGGAAATTTTAGCGATTATCCTGTAAGCTTGTGCTATGTTAATTGCACATATCAAATTGCCAATCTCCAGTTTGTGATACATATATATAAAGCCCAAAAGACTTTTAAACATATGGAAGTGTTTTTATAAATTATACACCCTTATGTCAGGTTATGAACATTTCTAGACCAAAGTGATTTTTCAGATTAAGATGGTGTAGGATTAGGTTTGCCTACACACAACAGAAACCAAAAATCAACAGTGACTGTTCACATAAGGTTTTGTTCTTGTGTATAAAAAGTCGACGGCACTGAGCAGCCCCTGGCGTTGAGCCGTGGGTATGAGGGCCTGGGATTGGGTCTGCTGTGCCCCACCCTCAGTACAGAGCAGAGACGGTGGGTGTTTCTGTGGGGTCACGTTGGTTTGCACCGAGGAACTTAAATATGTGGCCTTGGTTCAGAAACCTAACAGATTGCCAGACAAAAGTAAACACTTGAAGTAAGAAGCTTCCTGTAAAGCTTCATAGGTAGAGTTTATATTTATAGCACCAATGTACATTTTGAAACCTTCTTTCAGGGGTAGGAGTAAAAGGGGAAGAGGGGGTGAAGGGGTAGATGAAAGCTTTAATTTAAAAAGAAAGTTCAATGAAAGGAAATTATTTTGATTAAATATATTTTATTTGGGTATTTTTGGACCATATTATTAAATTAATTGTTAAGCTACAGTCGAATTGTGGAAGTGAGAGTTTTGATAAGTATGGACCGCATTGTGAATCACTTACCGTTGTACTTTATGGAGCTTATTTTATGATTTAAAAGACTGTATTGTATATAGGAGGTATGTTATCTTCTCCTTATTTGTATGTTTACTATATACTTTTATATTTGAAATGTTATGTACTGGAAAGGCCACTTAAATTTCTAGAAAAGATTGGATTTTATGCAACCTTTTTTCCTTGAATTAACAGCAATAAAAAAAATGAAAAATGAAAAAAAGAAGTCTAGAGGATAACAAGCCAGGAGTGGTATGGAATTTTGATAAATTGTCAGACACCTACTGCTTCTTGCTTTCTGCTCTGCCATCCCTTACAGAAGACCCAATATGGCTGCTGGAAATTGGTCATTATGTCCACATTCCATACCATAGAAAGAGAAACAGAAGCTGGAGGTTTTATATATTAATTCCATTATGCCTATTGTCCAGAACCAGTCACTGGTCATTTCTAGTTATAAAGGAGGCTAGAAATGTAGTCTGAAACCTCATGGGCCCAACTAAAATTTGAGGGTTCTATTATTGATGAATAACAGAAAGGAAAGTCTAATATTGGAGGATACTATTTACCTCTGATATGGGAGACACAGAGGATAAGTGTGGGCTCTGCTGACAGTTTGCTTCTCATTGATTGTTGACTCCACCACCTACTAGGTTGTAACTTTGGTCAACAGTTTACAATTTTCTGTTTATTTCTTTGGGTATAGAGTGGGAATAGAGTTTTCATGAGCATTTAATGTGAAGACATTTAGAATGGTGTCTGGTCAATGTGGTATTGTTATTGCCATTATTCCATGGTTTATTGCAACTCACTAAGCTACAGCCAGTATAGTCTCTGGGTTTTATTTACTACTATATATATATATATATATATATATATATATATATAGCTCTAGAACTTAGTAGGATGCCTGGCATTTCACAGATATGGACGGATGGATGAATGACTGAATGAGTCAGACTGCTTGTTTTAAATTGTGGAACTTCTTTTCTCTTTGGTTTACATGAGCATTACTTAATCCCTTTCAACCGCAGTTTTCCCCTCCTTAAAATGAAGATAAAATAAGCCAAGAGTCCTTCCTTTCTCCCTCCAGATCTACTCTCCACCCTTCTCAACCCTGCTATGTACCAAGGGGGCTGACCTTTATGGATTATGTCAGTGAGTCATTTTGCCCTCTGGCTTCCTGTGAATTGCCAGGAATTGGCCTATGGAAGGCACTGACAGCCGTGGATGGAGAGCTGGCTTGGACATTTCTTTGCTTTCCTCCTGAGAGGCTATTTTGGCAGTGGCTGTCTTCTATGGATTAAATGATCGTGTCCCTCTCAAACTCAAGTGTTGAAATTCTAACTCCCAGTGTGATGCAATTAAGAGATGGGGCATATGGGAGGTGTTTAATTCATGAAAGTGGAGTCCTCATGAATGAGATTAATACCCTAATAATAGAGACACCAAAGAGCTCTCCCCCACTCTGCCTTGTGAAGACTGTGAAAGGAGGGCTGTCTATCAACTAGAAAGTAGACTCTCACCAGTCACTGCTAGTGCCTTGATCTTGGCCTTCTCAGCCTTCAGAATTCTAAGAAATAATTTCCTATTGTGTATAAGTCACTCAGTCTATGATATTTGTAACAACGGCCTGAGCTGACTAAAACACTGTGTCTGTTCTGAAAGCCACAACTACCAAGTGACCCTCTCTTTCCAACTGTAGATCTGGACCCATAACTACCCCACCCTGTGACTCACCAGTATTGCTGTTGTCAGGGTGCTTCATCACTGTTTGCTGGTCTGAATTCTGGCCACACTTTTATAACGAGATTCTCTATTAAACTTTCTTCAATTCCCCCATATGATTTTTCTTTTCCTTCTGCCACCATAATTAATACATAACACTCAGGGTTGCTTTAAGTTTTTAGAGGGCTAATGTATATAAAATGCTTAATATGGTGTCTGATACAGAATAAGCAGTCAATAAACTTAAGAGCCACTAATGCTATTATCTGTTTCTTTTTACTATTCATTATTTCAATTTGCCAGTACCTTTGTTTTATATAATTTTCAATGTTGTTGATTAATTTATTGAAATATTTACTGTCAAAAATGATTAGAGCATATCTAAGATTAATTGTTGGGCCAAACTTACACCTTAAAAACAAAATGATACCTGGCAATTTTTTCCCTAAAAGATAATGCTTTATTTTTCATTAGAGTGTAAAATATGGAGCCCAATACAGAGTCCTTTGCTGTTTATTTGTGAAACTTGGAATCTCTGAGGAAGAGCAGTTGAGTTACAAGTGTAAGAGTCAGAGCTGGGAAATTAGGTTGGGAAGCTGGTGATTCAGGAGGCTGAGGTCTTAGGGGACAGAAATCATAGAAGTCATGGAGTAGACCAAGGAACCAGGATCAGAGACTATAGTTAAAATTACTTTGAATTGGGTGGGTTCTTAGTTTTACAGAGCCTCTTTAATCTTCACAAAAATGGACCAAAGGAATTTGACTCTAGCTCTAGGATACTCTTGCAGTTGAAGTCTTCAGATTTCTAAACAGTACTTTCTCTCTCTCTCTCTTTTTTTTTTTTTTGAACAAAATCTAGTGGAATTGATGTGATCTAGGGCTTCATAGGATATCTTAGGGAAGCTTGTCTTCAGATTTGTAGCAAGTAATTGGTTCTCCTGGTGGTAGTGAGTTCTGAATCTCTGCTGTGAACCTCCATATTTGTGATCTTCTAGAGTTTTGAATGGGAAAAACACTGAATCTTCAGCATACATTTTAATTCCTAAGATCCTCTAGACATTACCCATGATACTTCTGCAATTGATTTGAGTATATCCTATAATTATCAGGTTTTTCTCATAGTAATAATTGATAATTCATTGAATTATCCTCTGTGATAGAGAATGGATAACAATGATAATGATGGTATCTAAAGTCGTGTGTGATTTACAAAGTGACTGCTACATTTTCTTACTTAAAGAAGTTAAAATATACTAACCTTGAGAAGGAAATAGAAAGCAAATAAGAGTTAGTATTTAGTTGAATGAAGTACTTTCCATTTCACAGAAACAACCAATCTGGTTTTTGTTCCAACAAAACATAGTAAGGAATTGCCATTTTCACATATTTATGATGAAATCATTGACTGCTATGGGCCATTTATTTTTTAATATGAATAGTCAACAATTAAAATCAGAATGTACTTCAACAGAAATATATTTTAGTAACTGAGAATTTTTAACTATTTATTTTCTTTATATGTGATTTTTTATTTTTTCCAGATTTGGATATCAGAAACACGTGAAAAAATGGCACAAGTTTGTTTAAACACGAAACTGGCCAAAATAAAGAGCAAGGCTTTATTGAATGAGGAAACTGTGAACTCTGGAATTATTGAAAGGTATGCTTAATACAGCCCTTTCCTTAGAACAGGCATCTGCAGGAAAGGGCTTATAAATAAGCAGTGAAGGAGGTAGGTTGACCCCAGCTACACATTATTGGACTACAGCAAGCAGGGACACCACATCTCAAGCTGCCATGCTTTCTGTTCATGCTGCTCCCTCTGTTTGGAATTCTCTTTCCCTTGGTGGTTTGCCAGCCAACTCTGCACATTATAGGTCCAATTAAAGGTCTTTTTCCCTTTACGTGTTTTTTTCTGGTGATAGTTCTGACTACCTAGATTTGAAACCCATTTCTACAATTTACTGCTAAAAGTTAGTGCCTTTCTGTGGAAATGCATGACATAGACTTCCTCTTGTATTGTGGTTGTTGGACAGAAATGCTGAAATTTTCCATTTACTTGTTGAGACATTTTATTAATATTTTGCAAAGTTCATTAAACTTGCAAACATGGAAATCCTTTAAAAATTTATAATAAAAATTCAGCTCCCAAATTAGTTTTGTTTGGCTTTGAAAGTTTGTGAATGTCAGTTTGATATGTTTTCTAAAAGTTGTTATCTTGTTTCCAGGGACACTGGATTGCCTGCCACAGGTTTTGGAGCTCTCTTTACTAGACACCCAACAGATTGGCGCAAAATGTTCGTAATCCCTAAACTGCTGCAGATTGCACAAAATGTTTCTTAATGGTTCAGAAGGTTTGTTTGCAGGGGTGAAGAAATTAGTGGTGAACAAAAGTCAACAAACTGTCCTTTATGTGGTATTTTACAGGTTTCCTTCCTGTCTTGAAAAAAGTGGTGTTTGTTTTTTTCCAATTTATTAATACCATCAGACTGTTAGAAGAAAAGTAGGTTATCATTTAAATAATATGAATAGTGATATATGTGTTTGTGTGCATGTGTATACACAAAAATTAGCATGAGACTTCTTTCCTTTAACAAGCTTTTCCCATCAATATGCAAGCGATAATAATAATAATAATACACTAGTCAATACCCAATATTTGTAGATTCTATATTTGTAAATTCTCTTACTGCTAAAACTGATTTATAACCCCCAAGTCAATACTAAGGGTGCTGTTGCAGATAATAATGGATATGCATAAGGACATTAATGGTGGCAAAAAATTTGAGCTTCGCAAAGCACACATTCCCCGCTGAGGTGGAACAAGGTGAGGCTACCTTCTTGTTTCACTTTTCAGAGTGTATGCAAGTGTCCTTTTCACAATCATGTATTTTTTGCATTTTTGGGGTGATTTTTTAGTGATTTTGCTGTTTGAAATGGTTTCTAAGTGTAGTGCTGAAATGTTATTTAGTGTTCCTAAGGGCAAGAAGGCTATGATATGATTTATGCAGAAAATAGATAAACTTCCTTCAGGCATGAGTTACAGTACTGCTGGCCATATTCAAAGTTAATGCATAAACTATATTGAATAGAATGTCTTTTAAACAGAAACACACATGAAACCAAAATATGTATTAATTTGCCAATGAAAATGTAACCAGAGCTTGAAGGAACCTAACCCTGTATTTCTCCTAATACATTCAAGATTTTCTAATTCAGTGTTCACAATGACTTTCCAGAACATTACTGTGAATAGTGAGAATTAACGGTATAGGAAGAAACTACTATTGTTTTTAACTAATAAACGAAATTGCTTTTGGAGACAACATGATTTGTCACTACAGAAAAAATATTTCTTTTCTACTCATCTTTCTAAAGAAGACAAACTTTCATAATTGCTATAATGATATATATATATATAAGTGATGAAATATAGGTAATTATAAGCATGAAAAAATTCTAAGTGTTGGATCGTGTATTATGAAGATATGAGTATATATCATCACTGGCAATTTAGTTGTTTTTGCTTCCTTTGAGAACTTGTCTGGCTTTAGAGCTAACCTACTTTGCAGAGTGTGCTTAGAGTGGTAGTGGAAAGTGCTGTAAGCTGACCCTGAGTTGTCTCCTACAACTCCAAGTGGAGAAAATATCCTCTGATATAGAGGAACTGGGCAGTATATCTTGAGGAGAAAGAAATGCCAGGGGAAGTAAGTGCAGTTAAACCCAGAGAAGTACAGCAGAAGCACTCAACTCGTATCTCCTACACTCACAGTGCAGACACCAGCTGAGCCTCCCTTTTCATGGACCATTTATAGAGTCATCAAAAGCAGAGGCAGCTGATCATCTGATTAATAATACAGCTGCATTCCTGGTCTTAAAAATATCATGACACATCTAAAGAACAAAAGCATCATGAAGAATGAAAAGACGTAGTCAACTTCTATCAGATGAAATAGACCTGATGGAACAGATATAATAGGAATTGAAAACCAATGGAACAGAAATATAAAGCTTTATTACTTAGGGAAATAAAGAAAATGGTTGCAAATATAAGGCAAAATAATAAAAATCAGGTTGACCTTAGTTTCCCAACAGCAATACTGGATGCAAGAGCATAATATTAAAGTATTGAAGGAAAAGAATTTTGAACCCATAATTATTTAAATGTGCAAGTCAAGTAAAGATCCTTTCAGGTATACAAGGACTAGTTTCAGACTTACTGTCCTGCCACGAATAATGATAGAACTGGGCAAAATATTAATATGTTATGCATCTGTTGTCAAGGATTGACTAGCAACCAGTGGGGTTCTGTGCTCCTGAAGATGAGAACTGAGGATCACTTACTCACTGAGGTCACTTTTCCTGGCTATAGTGCAGGGAGGTGAGCCCAAGTGTAGAGCAGTGTTATTGTTGAGCTGGGGGTGGGGAATAGGAATTTAGAGTTTCTGAAGTAATTGGAATTTGTAGGACAGACTATTGGACAGAAGGAAGTTGTGTTTGGAGGTAGGAACAGAAGTCTGCATGGAATTTCCCTCAGGTGGTTAGTCAGTTGTTTGGCTCTGCATACACTATCAAAATAGTACATACTCCTGCTTTTAAAAAATCAAATGGAACTGTCTATAGTATTTTCTAAAATTTCACAATGCTGCCCCTTCCTGCATGGTAGTATTGTGTAGTGAACTTCAGGGCTACATTACCTACTTTCAAATCCTGGCTCTGCCACTTACTAGCTGTGTGAACTTGGGCTAGTAATAGTTGCTTAACCATTTTGTACCTTGGTTTCTTTGTCTGTATAATGGGGCTAGAGTTATAGAGTTGTGATGACTAAGTAGGTTAAAGCATGAAACAGAACAGTAATTTGTGCATATATGTTAAATGCTAAGCAGATCTGCTGGTCCAGCCACTTGGCAAATACTTTTGGTCAAGAAACTCCTGTCTTTCAGTTCAGGAAAATATTCTTCATTTATTTCACTGATGATTTATACCTTCCATTTTCTCTGTTCTCACTTTTGGAAATACCTTATTTAGATGTTGGTTTGCCTGGCCTGGTCTTCTAATTTTCTTGTCTTCTCTCTATTTCATATTTGTCTTTACTGTCTACTTTACTCTCTGTGTCTTCAACCCTACTATTGAGTTCTCTTTTTATTTTCTGAATCCTTCTGTTTTTATAGATTTCTTTTTTTTGTTTGTTTGTTTCATGACTGAAATATGTATTTGGGGATGTTACTAATAGTTAGTTTTACTAAATTTTTATCCATGCATAGTATCTATTTTCTCTAAGATGCTTTTTATTAATTTGCCTTTTGTTTGTTTGGTATCTATCTTCCATTCTAGAAGCTTTCCTTAGATGTTTGGTAATTACTTCTTGGTTCTCTGCTCATGGGCTTCCCTGGTGGTTCACCTGGTAAAGAATGTGCCTGCAATGTGGGAGACCTGGGTTCAATCCCTGAGTTGGGAAGATTCCCTGNTCCCTTTTCTGTCCTTCTTGTTCTTGTGGGTTTATTTTTATTTTTTGAATCTCTTTAATTTGATTTTAGTGAAGCTTTTTGAGGAAGCAAGATTCAATGTGTACATTCAATCTTAACCTTGAAGTCGTTCAGTCTCATCTGAAATGTCACCTCTTCTGAAGGACCTTCCCTTCCTATTGCCACTCCCAGCCCCCATGGCAGGTCTCTTGTGGGTGTTCATAGTACCATGTACTTCTTTTATCCCTATCCAGTTAGGTTGCTGTTACTTACATTCTTATTTGCCTTTCTTACTGAATTTAGTGCTCTGAAGCAAAGGCTGTTGCAGCTCTCCCCAGTCCTGATAAAGAACCTTACCTACTGTAGATATAATTAATTTCTCGAATGAACAAACTATTTCTGATGTTGAACAGCAAATTATACTGGAAAAGGGGTATAACTAATTCCTGTTTTACTTGATTTTACAACTTTAAGTCCTGAAGAAATAAAGTTATTCTCAATGTTAGTTTGGTAAATACATTAAAAGACATGGTCTTTTAGAAAATCAGCTCTTATTAGTTTGAATTACTAGAATTACTTGTTTGTTTTATTTGATGCACAAGTATTAGCAAGGAAATGAATACATGAGTACCTTCAACCATCCTCCACTAATTCCGTTTGTAATTCTTTCTTTCAGTTAATGTACACTAATTATAGGGCATTCTATACAATAGAATGTTCTGGTGTTGTAGAATCTGCTCTCTTGAATATTAAATATTCTTTTGCTTCTTGCCAACTGTACAGCTGTAGAAGTTAAATGTCAACTTTAAAAGGCAGTGAATAAAAATGAGTTTGCTCAATGGACCAAAATAATGTGCTTTAACTTATAAAATAAAAGCTGTAATCATAATGTAAATTTAAACTTCAGGTTACCTTGATGGAAAAAAATCAGAATACATATATAGCTTTGTTATTAAGGAGACATTAGTCAGATACATTTATCTTAATTTTAGATAACATTCATTATGTTGTGATAGCATTTGACAATCTGTTTCTTTTCTTGCAACTCAAAAGCAGTAGCCCACCTACTTTATTTTGAGCCAATGTGAGGAAGACACAACGCCTCTCTTCCTTAAACTGGCAGCAAACATCCCAGTGGAACATATTGAAAACCAGAACAACCAGAATGTTTGACATCACTGAATTTATCACTCCTGACCTTAACTAGAGAAAAGGTCTTGGTGAATAATTCCTTCCACACGTCACAGATGGAGATAAGTTTTCAACAACTGCAATATATAGAATGGTCAGGTTGAGACCAAAAGTGATATTGATGACTTACACTTTAAAAATGAGATTAATATGCCTTGAGGCTGGAGTGAGCTTGTCCAGAACTAGAGTTATCGCTTCTCTTGAGAGTTGATTGTATTTCCGTCAGTGAGTAACCAAGGAATTGGCATTGCCCAGTGATGGAAGGGGTGAGAGTCAAGAAGGTTCAAAGATGTCAACAGTGCTGTTATGGTCTCAGATGGATATAGTTGCATGTTTAGGGGTCTCTAACATACATTACTTTTACTACATGGATAGAGAGGCTAAAGGTCTAGAAAAATAATGAGGCACATTTCTTTTAAGGCACATAGGAAAAGTGGATAGAAACATGAAGCTGTAACAAGTTAATCTAAGGGTCTTTCTTTGCTCTTCTAACTTGTTCTTAAGACTCCTCAAGGAGTTTTCACTTAATGTGAAAGTACTCTTTATGAGGGATGAAGAACTAACTCATTTTCAGAAGGCTCCTGGATATCCAATACAAAATCATTACATGATTTGTCCATAGAACCAGACGGTTGTAGCAG